ATCTTAAATAGCTTATACTTATTAATAATAATTATAAAGACGAAAAGAGTATCAAAGCATTTAGATTCATAGAACGCTGTATAAGTGGATAAAAATGTGTAGCTCTTTCAAAATCCTCTCGATTCATGTCCAGTTCCGCTCAGGACCTTCCAACGTTTAAAGATATTATCTCCGTCCCAATAGACTTTGCACTACTTAAGTTAGGTGAGAAATAAGAATAGTAAAAATTGTATGGTTGAAGTTTGTGCAGAAGAGAGAGAAATGAGTAGAACCAAAAAATAGTTACTTTAATGGGAAAGTGGCAAAAATTTTTGAGACAACCAAAAAAGGAAAGATGGCAAAGTCCAATGGGATGATGGGAGTAAATTTTTTGGGACAACATTGTGCAACTGAATAGAACGAATATAAAGAGTATTTTTTTTGTTTTAACTTTCCGCTTTTCAAAGGCAATACTACCATCTGCCTCCCAAAATATTTAGCCAAATCTTAAAATTTGGACCATGATTTTGATTAGTATAATATTATGAAAGTTATAAATTTTAAATTTTTATGAAAGCACGTTTAATAAAGAACATTTTTAAATCATTTTTATATTAAAAATAATTTCCAATAAATATATATACTATGTCAAAGTTTTGAATTTGATTAAGTAGTTTGGGATGGAGGTAGTACTATAGAATATATATTTGGACATTGTTTTGTATTATATATTGCCTCTATCTCATTAGGCTTTGTCAACTTTTTTCTTTTGCTCGTCCCAATATTTTTGTCACTTATAAAATAATGAATGTGTTATTCCCCTTATTTTTCTCTTTTATCTGTACATATCTCAATTATATTCCCTCTGTCCCATTTGACTTTGCCAACTTTTCTTTTTTTTATACCAAAAAACATTGTCATTTCCCGATTAAAACAACTAATTTGTTGTTCTGGACATTTCTCTCTCCTCTGCACAAATTTCAACCACACAGTTTTTACTTATCTTATTTCTCACCTACTTTGCACTTGACAAAGTCCATCGGGACGAATGTTGTATTACCTCTGTCCCTTAAAATTTTGCCATGTTTGACCGGCACGGAGATTAATAAAGTAAAAACTGTGTGGTAGAGGTTTGTGCAGAGGAGAAAGAATTAACTGGAATCACAAATTCTTTACTTAAATGATAAAGTGACAAAGTTAGTAGGACAACAAAAAAAGAAAATTTGGCAAAGTTTTTAGGGACAGAGAGAGTATAATTTTTTCTTTTTTAATTTACACCTAACTCAAAGTTATCAACGTATGATGGGAAAAAAGAATTAATAATTTTTTCTCATTTGTCCCAATAGTTGTTACTATTTCCCTTATATTTGTAGTATTACTTGACACCACTAATAGTTGCTTGTGGCTCCGTACGTCCTGTACACTTCGTTATGGTATAAAATTATGAAAGAATGGCATAGATATTACTCCCCAACTGGACAAAAATATGACTCTTTTTAGAATTGACACAAAACATACCCTTCCGTTTCTCCTTCCCGTCAAAACAGCCCCCTTTCTCCTTCCCGTCAAAACAGCTCGACCTTCTCTCTTCCGTCCAAGACATCTCCCTCTTTGGGAAGCTTCTTCCATCGATCTCTCTTCCCATGCCCGGAGCAACATTTAGCAGCCGATCTTCCTTCCGCACAGGATCTGAACGCTTCTCTCTTCGCCGGTCTTCCTCTCTGTTGCACCTCGTCGGAAGTCCTAAGGCTTCTCTCTTCGCACGGCCATGGCTCCATCTTCTTCGGCGGTCCAAGCCACCATCTTCTTCGACGGTCCAAACCGCCATCTTCTTCGACAGTCCAAACTGTCATCTTCTTCGTCGATAACCAGATCTGAGATCCAAGAGTTCCACAGGGACAAGGATGAAAGGTAGGGCGATGCTTGAGGGCATGTGATGCAACATTTTTGGTGGGGCTCCGTTGCGGTGTTTTTGGGGTGGTGTTGTGGTGCGGCGTGTTTGGGACGGCTGTGGTGTGTTGTTGCTGGGCAGGGCTGTGGGGGTGTTGCGGAGCTGGGACGGAGATGAGACGGGTCAGGGAGATGGGTGGGTTAGTTGGTGGTCGGGTGGGGGATGAGGAGGGGTCATGGGGGATGGGGAGGTGGCTCGGGGCTGAGGAGGGGGCTGGGGCTAGGGGAGGTAGGTGGAGCTGGGAGGGGTTGGGGGCTAGGGCGTGGGGATGGAGCGTGGTGGTGGCGGAGGTTGACGCAGGGGCGGTGTTGGGTGGGACAGGTTCGATTGGGTGAGGAGGGGTATGGGGTTACGTTCTGGTTGTTGGGGTGGCTGTTCGATAGGCAGGTAAGGTGGTGCGGTGGTAACGGTTCGGGCTAGGGTTGCGGACTGGCGGTTGGGTGCGGGGATGGTGGTTGGTGGCTGGTGTTTGTGTTCGGCGGTTGCGGCAGCATGACCGTGGCCGGAATCATTTTGTCACTGTGGCGACGTCATCGATGACGGTCATGTCACTATGGTGGTGTCACCGGTGGCGGTGTCAATGGTGATGGTGTCACTGTGGCCGATGAACGGGCGGTAGATACCGTGGAATGGAGTCACTATGACGTTGTCACTGTAAAATTGTTTTAGTGGTATCACTGCAAATAATGTCACTGTAAACGTCATTGTAGCACCGTCACTGTAGCACCGTCACTGTAGCACCGTTAATTTCAGTCACTTTTTTGGAAAATTAAATAAAAGGTCACTTTTTTGGCAATCACCCATATATTAGTAATATTAAGGACAAAACCCCTTGGATCATTAATCAATGGCTAAAAGGTCAAATAGACCCTCGTACATGTTGATAATGCTCAATTCACCCCTTGAGCTAAAACAAGATCCAATTGGAACCGTGAACTAGATAAAAAGTTTCAAATTTGACAGTTTGTAGGTAACCATCCAGTCAATACTACGTCATCGGGTCATGTGTCAACTATATGCATATGAGGTGACAACTCAAGGGGTCAAATAAATGTTGAACCTAATCAAATTGTTCAATTTCACTCCCTTAACCGTTAAAAATGCCAAAATTACGAAAAACAAATAAAAATAAAAAACAAAAAAAAACAAAATATAAAATAATCACAAGTCAAAATATAAAATATAACATATAAATATGAAATATTTATATTTTGCGGTAAATTCATAATAGAAAATAAAATGTAAACTTAAAGAAATTCTTTAACTTTATATCCATATTTTATATCTATTTTGATATAAGAAAATAAACAATATATTTTGACCAACCATATTCCAATTTGTATCTAATATAATATATCTAAGATTTTTTTAAATATAAACATATTTTCTTCGGTTTTTGGTTTGATGATTTATATTATGTTTATACTTTCCATTTTTATTTTTTCAGTTTTTATTTTTAATTTATTTAAAAAAATGATTAAAATATATTAATTTCGTATAACTAGATATTAAAAGTATGAAATTTAGAAGTAATTGTGTTTTTTCAAAGAATAATTAGATATTAATTTTTTTTATTTAATTATATACTTTGTTCTAAGTATTTAGACCATAAATATTTTATACATTACTATATAAGAAGTAAAAAATAAAATAGAAATTATATACTTTTAATATTTGATATATATAGTAGGTTTTTACATATGAAATATACTATGTAGTAATTATGTGTACATTATATTTTATAAAGTAAGGTAATACAGATATGTTTCTATGTATGTTTGTACACATAACTTTCACATTTTTTATATGAAATATAAATAAAAAATTTGGAAATAAAGTTAAAGATTTTTTTAATTTTTTTAATCATCTGCAAAATGCAAATATTTCATTTTTATACTTAATAATTCCGAACTGTATTTTATTTATATTTTTTTTATACTGCAAAATGCAAAATGTATTTTTATACTTAATTTTTTTTTATTTTTTTATTTTTTTTCTTAATTTTGACACTTTTTAACGGTGTAAATTAGAGCTCTTTTTACCCGCACGGGTAGCTCAGTTGGTCGAGTGGTGGAGAAATTGGACCAAGTGACCAAGGTTTGAAACCCGCAGCGGCCGTGTGGATGTTACAGAACCTGAAATAAGGTTGGACCTCTGGTGCGCACGTGTATAAGGCTTACCGTTGCTTTGTTGACTGAGTCAACGTGATTAACATCTTCATCATCTTGTTGGGTCGGGGTGGGGGAGCCTTGGGTTGGGCATTCAACCTATTGGATAAAATTAGAGCTCAAGGATGGGGGGCTCAGGGATGAGGTGTCATCCTTTCTTAGAGTTCTTTTTGTTGAGAGGGTGAATTGAGCATTACGGATTCGTATATGGTGCATCCGGGTGTACGTAAACCCGGCCCAAGTAACAAAGACAACCCCAACTATTAATACAAGCCAAAAAACAATCGGTGACAATTTTGTAATTTTGATGAAAATCGTGATTTGTCTGGAATGAGCATTAATGTAAGTTTGAAGAGCATCATCTCTATTCTTTTGAGTAATAGGATCCTAAAAATGAGTATCGTGAAATCTGCTTCAAATCTTCTAATGTTATTTTTTTAATTTGTTTAAAAAAGATTTCTGAAATTTTGTCTATAATCGATTTCAATTTAAAACAATATGTGAATTTAATGTAATATAATAATTTTAAAATATGCATCATTGATATGACATTTTAAAATGAGCATACCATTACTACCAAATGAGCATACATAACTTACAAAATGAGTATCAAAAAATTTAAAAACGCATTTTTGTGTGCTCATTCATTTTGGACGTTATACTCATATGAATATAACATAAAACTCATTTCTATTGTGCTCAATATTCATTTATGTATTGATATGACATTTTAAAATGAGTATAAAATGAATATTAAATGAGCATACATAACTTACAAAATGAGATATAGAAAAACAAAACATTAATATCTAAAATAGTTTATAATTAAATAAAGATTAAAATAAAAAAAAAATAAGAAAAAGAAAGAACTAAAGTTAGAAAAGTTAAAGTTCAAAATTAAAGGAAAACAAAAAAGAAAAACGGAAGCAGAACAAAGAAAAGGAAAAGTTAATGCGTTTTTTGGCAAAAGAAAAGTCAATGTTACAAAAATTAAAGGTCAAAATTAAGAGAAGAAAATGGGAAATAGAAGCATAAAAAGAAAAAGAAAAAACGAGAAGCCCATAGTAATTTGTTGAGCATTACAATCGACCCATATGACCCTTTAGTCTAATCAATACACATAGTAATTAGTAGAGTCATTATGAAGTTGTGTTTGATACAACACATGTTTTCAAGGCTATAGACTTTAAAACGGGCAGAGAAGGTGTGCGCCAGTACGTCTACACTTGTTTCACCTGAAAAAATTAGACCAAAGGGACCCAAGCTACATAATTAGAATTGTCGTACTGATTTGATTATTTTTTATTCAATACCTACTACGCTACAAAAATAAATGTGAGCAAAGAAAATTGCTTGTCAAACTCTGGTACCAGATAGACGTAAGAAAATTGTTTGATGGCCTCTACGGCTCTACCGAGCACCAAAATCGTGAAATGTAAAAATCAAGACTTAAAAAAATGAAAGATTTTTCTGAAAATGCTACTTAGTACTCAGATGAAATTTATTTTATAAAAACATGATTAATAGTTATTATAGTATAATCCACAGTCGGTGTAAGTTAGTGTAACTAAATTATTAATATAGTCATATAGGATACACATTTTTGTAAATGATATTCACTTTAGTAATGTATATGTACTTATTTCAAGTCAAAGGTCCAATATATGTAGAGCTATTTTTCACAAAATCCCAAAGGCGCGGCCTGTCACATTCGATGGTTTGTGCACACCGAGCACATCTCACATATGATGGAAGATCTCAATTCATTGTAATATACTCCCTCTCTAACATTGATGTCTTCTCACTTTCTTTTTTTAGTTTTAACATTCACATCTTCCATTTCTAAATCTTCCTATCATACCCTCAATAATTTTAAAAATAATACACAATTACAACTACTTTGTTTAGATTTATCCTTCATTCCAGCACACTATTTCATTATCTTCCCATCATGCCTCCAATAATTTATATCTCATTTCACTATTCTTAATCTCACCTACTTTTCAAATGGGAAGAAAAACTACCTTGTGAGTCTGAACTCACTACCACCTGTTCACCTCCATTGAGGTTATCATTTTGCTCTGTTTCAGACTCTGAATATTCATATGCAGCATTATGGAGGATTCCACTATGGTCCTCTTCATTCGCAGAGTCATCATTATCCAAAGATTCAAAGAAATTCCCATCAGAAGCATCTGCAGACTTACTCAATACAGTATCCGTTCTTTTAAAGGGAAAATCACATTCATTGAAAGTAACATCTCTGGATACAATACATTTATCAGCCCCTGGTTGAACAACCAGTAGCTTATAGCCTTTAACTCCCTCAGGATAGCCTAACATTACACATTTTAAGGCTTTAGGTTGTAATTTAACTTGAGAAACATGGACATAGGCTGCACACCCAAAAGGCCTTAAATGTGAAATGTTTGGTTTAACCCCAGACCACATTTCTTGTGGAGTCCTAAAACTGATCACAGAAGATGGGGATCTATTAATCAGGTATGAAGCAGTTGTCACTGCTTCACCCCACAAGGAATTACCAAGGGCAGAACTGATGAGCATACACCTTGCCTTTTCAAGCAGGGTTCTGTTCATCCTTTCAGTAGTACCATTCTGCTAAGGAGTTCCAGGGACAGTAAGCAACCTTTTAACCCCTTCTTTTTTGCAAAAATTATTGAATTCATTATTGCAGAACTCAAGGCCATTATCAGTTTTCAAAGCTTTCAGTTTAAAGTTGGATTGAGACTCAACCAATGTTTTTCTAGTTTTTAAAACTCTCAAAGGTTTCATCCTTAGTTTTTAATAAGAAAACGCACACCTTTCTAGAAAAGTGATCAACTAGAGATAGAAAGTATTTTCTTCCTCCAGTAGTACTCACTTTAGAGGGTCCCCATAAATCAGCATTAACCAATTTAAGGTAGCAGAAGCAACATAAGATGATTGTTCAAAAGGATGTCTAGTTTTCTTACCAAAAACACAGTTTTCACAAAAAACAAGGTTTTCAGGTTTAAAGTCCAAAAATCCAGTTTTAAACAGCTTATACAAACCCACATTCCCAATATGACTCAATCTGTTATGCCAAATTTCAGTTTGTTTTTGAGTGTTACTATTATCAACAGAAGCAGCTAAGTTAAGTTCAGGGGAGCAATTAACTAAGTAAAGTCCCCCACTTTTATTAGCTTTAATAAGGTCATTTCCATTTCTGGAAACAACCTTATATCCATCATGTGTATTAATAGTGCAACCCAGATCATCAAAAACAGATTCAGATAGAAGATTCCTTCTTAAGAAGGGAACCCACCTAACATTTTGGATAACCCTTACAACCCCATCAAACATCCTAAGAAGAACATTACCAACACCTTTGATATCTAGGGCAGTATTGTCTCCTAACATGACCTTTCCCCCGTCATATAGAGTCAGAGAGGAGAAATAGGTCTTGTTAGGAGTGGCATGTAATGTACACCCAGAGTCTAAAATCCATTCATCATTCAAAGAAGATCCAGAATAAACAAGCAATTCATGTTGAAAAACATTTGCAGATTCTGTGTTAGGAGTAAGGTTAGGATTATTTTTATTATCACCTTGTTGATCCCTTTTCTTTTTCCTACAGTCTCTGACAAAATGTCATTTTATGCCACAATTGTGACATTTGAAGTTTTTCTTCTCAGAATTATCTTTATCAGTTTTATTCTTCTTCTTTGAACTGTTCTTTTTATTCTTTGGTTTCCCTTTAATAACTAGGGCTTCATTTTTAGGCTCAGTTTTCTCAGTATTAGAGGGATCAGATTTAGACTTAAAACTTTAAGGGATTCATTCTTCTCAAGTATAGCATCTATGATCTTACCAGAGGTGAGATCTTCATTAGAATACTGGATGACATCCTTAAAGTTATCAAATTGGGGTGGTAAAGACTTTAACAGAATAACAACTTGATGGGTGTCTTTTATCTTTTCATCTACCTTTTCTATTTCTTGTGTCATCTTTAGAAAATTGTCCAAGTTATCATTCAGTGACACAGAAACATACATTTTAAAGGTAAACAACCTACAAAGCAGAGAAATCTTTCTTGACATGGACTTTTTCATGTAGGTAGACTCAAGGGTTTGCCATAACACTCTAGGATCAGTAATTGTTGAAAATTTTCTAGCCACATTATCAGACAGATGGATATTCAATTCAGAATATGCAGCATTTTTCATTTCAATTAACTCAGCATTAGACACATTGGGATTAGAATCATTTAAGACAGCTTCGAAGCATTTCTGCTTCATCAGGAGAGCTTTCATCTTAAGCTGCCACATGGGAAAGTCACTGGTGAGTACCAGTGTGAGACATGTTAACAGAAATAGCTCAAGACACAAGTGAGTAAAAGCAACAGAATGCAATCAGACAAGAACTAAAAGCAATCAAGATTCGAACAGTTTTGAGCTAGGGTTTCAGGATCGAAAAATAGTAAACCAAAAATTATGGTTTCTTGAAAACTCAGTCAAATCACGAATTTAGATTAGGGTTTCAAGAATCTAATGCAAATGCCCTGATACCAAAATTGTTCTCCGACTATATCAATAGTCACAGTCAAAATACCAGATTCAAACTTCAAGTTCAACCAAAACAGAAATTAAAGAAATGAACACACGATATGTTGACGCAGCTCGGATAAATCCTACTCTGCGGGGTTTCAACAGGGGAAACCCGGTCCCAAGAATCCACTAGCTCAGAACAGTTTGAATACAAAGATGGTTGCAAAGCAAGATACGAAAATAACAGATCCAACACACAAGAATCAGCCAAAAACAGGCACACAAACAAAATAAGAAAAGGAACAGAAGTAACCGAATGAAGCTACAAAAACCCAGGAACTCTCAGATTCCACGAACCAACTTCCTTGGATTTGAACTTCACCACACGATCTTCTTCTTGCCTTTCTCAGCTCATTCTGGCTTCAAGTGATTTCGAATTTGAAGGGAAAACCAGAGGTTTCTCTCTCAATCAACGCACAAGCTCTCAGAATCGCGACTATGATGATTTAAAATAATATTTTATTTTTTTATAAAAAATTGTTTTTTTAAATCAAAAACATTAGTCACGGACTAAATCCGTGACTACTTTTTAATCCGGAATAAATTCAATTTTCATTTTTTTTTATTTTTTTTATTTAAAATCGACTTTTTTAAAAAAACAAAAACATTAGTCACGGACCAGATCCGTGACTACATTTTATCCGGAATAAATTCATTTTTTTTAAAATTTAACATAGTCACGGATACGTCCGTGACTACCACAAAAATAAAAAAATTTAAATTAAACTTAGTCACGGCTCGTGTCCGTGACTAACTCAAAAAAAATTAAATTAAAAGTAGTCACGGATCCGATCCATGACTAACGTGCCGGAGGGCTTATTCCGGTCAAGATGTAGTCACGGATCGACGTCCGTGACTAATCCGTGACTACACCTAGTCACGACCAATGTTCCGTGACTACATTCTAGTCACGTGGAACTAGTCACTGAACTAGTCACGGACGAAATCCGTAACTAAAAGTGTTAGTCACGGACTTTTTACACTACGGTCCGTGACTAAGTCCGTGACTACGGACGATTTTTTTTGTAGTGAGATGTCTCCAGAAGGAAGGAATGAGACCTTTTATATGCGAATCAAACAAGCTGGGTCAAAGATGAGAACGAACTAGACTTAACCAATTATCATACCCAAACTGCAGTGGAATAGACTGAAATGAGTCAGACCAAGTTTAATGGTCTAATTGAATAAGCATAAGGTATATTATCAGATAGACACAATCACCGTAAATTATAACCCGTGATATGTTGTATCGAGTTAGTGGTTGAATGAACCATAAAGTTTGAGATTCAATACTCCGTATTATGGAGGGATAAAATACCAGATATGAAAAGCATGAATCAATTAATTTCGTTTACAAAGGCGCATCTATTCACTTGTGGGTCTATTTTCTTCGGTTTCATAAAATTCTTCCAATTCTCTTTTTTGGATCGTCCAAAAAAATTCTTCTAATTTTTTTTATTCACTTTTTTCTTTCATAACTACAATCATATATTTCCATTTTATTTCCATTTTCTTAACATGCTAACCAACTCAAAGCTGGAAGAATTTATTGGGATGGGAATAGTGTATTATTTGGTACATGTGAGTCAACACTTATTGCCGAACCACTATCATTCTATATATGCGTATGATGAAAGCCATCAGTCTTTCGATTCTCTCCACCACTGACTCCATTATTGCCATATTTTTTATGCATATGACATCCTTGTCCGCTCTACGTGTTCTTAATTATTTGTCACATCACCTTTTGAGGTGACCTATACCATTTTTTACGACCGTAGAAAAAGTCACATGAAAGTGCTTGCCAATTTAAGGATCCCGTGTATGACTTTATCCCAATTTTTTCTTATACTACTCACGGAATTATCTCCTAATTTGACTGGGCACGGATTTTAAGATAGTGGGAAATGTGTGGTGGAGAGTTGTGCAGAGTAAAGAGAAATGTGTAAGAATGGTTGTGAACCACAAATTCTTTGTCAAAAAAGGAAAAAAGAGATAAATTTGGGACGGACCGAAAAGGAAAGAATAAAGATAATTCCAGGACGGAGGAAGTAGTTTTATTTATATTTCAAATTTACATAAAGTAGTGATGGATTATTGCAACATCAGAACACAGTTAGATAGATAAGAGAACAAACTATAATGCATTAATAATTCGAATAAGAATTGCAACAAGGGGTATTAATAAAATGAGGATAAAGAATAAGAATGAATTTAGTCATTTTAATTACTATACTTATGTTTAGTTCCTACGCCACAGTGATCACAAGAGTCCATCATAGTAATTTTAATCACTTGGTCCATAGTAATTTTAATCACAATTTTGTACATGAACTTTATTTTAGGTGAGATATAAACTTTTCAAGTTTTATCATAAATATCTATTATTTCCTAACAATCATCAAGAACTTCATTCTTTGTTATATCAACATTAGTTATCTAATTTGATCTTGATGTAATAATATACATATATAGTATATTTCCTTTCTTGGTTCTATGTTGTTTTTTCTATATCTTGCATTCTACAGTTCATGAGTGTCCAATCATTTAAGAAAACTAATACTCCGTATTTTAATTTTACTAGGATTCAATCAAGATCTTGTCTCAAAAATTATAATGTGCTACTATTATTTCGTATTGCTAACTGTGTATTTAGTGTAGAATTAATCAATAAACAGTGTATAAATGAGTTTCTGGTTGTGTTTACTTGGGGTTAACATGCATGTTGGGTCGTGATTTCACAAATGACAATGATGAACTGATCAAAAAAATGGCACCACAATCCAGAGGAAGTGTTTCGTCATGAGGAGGAGTGTTGAAGTATCACACTAAAAATCATGAAGTAGTAAAATGTTGTATTAAGATGTTGGACTAGCTATTTCGGCCTCCAATCATGTTGACCTTTTACGATA